GAATCCATCTAGAGTTCCAAATGTCAATTTTGAATTTTTCATTAATAGACCAAAGGATTCCTTTATTACATTAATACCAACCCTTCACTATAGCACTCCAAATGAATGAGGTATTTATTATTTTTGTTTTATTTGCATGGGTAGCTATGAGCAGCTTTGACCAAGGAGAATGTGGTTGGTTGAACAGTCGCCAAGTAAGACCAGTTAGGAGAGCCAAGTTTTTTGATCTAGCCTTCTTATTGCCAAGGCCCCGTTGGATTTTTCCCTTGTGATTATTTCCTAACTCAAAAGGTAGAGTTTCTTATTATTCTCAGTACTATCCCAAATAAAGTCTCTTTGGATATTATCAATGTGACTTAAAATTTTTTGAGGTAGAAGTGTGTATTGCATAGCATGATTGGGAATGGTATTAAGAGTTGAGGATACAAGGGTAGTTCGACCTGCTATGCTAAGGCAATTGGTTTTTCAATTTGAGAGTCTATATCTCATGTTGTCTATGATATATTGAAAATCAGAGGCTTTAGGTTTACAACTCAAAATTGAAAAGCCTAAATATTTGTCAAAGTTATTACTGATCTTCATATTAAACAAATTTGAAATTCGCTTGGTAGTATTTTTAGCCTTTGGCCATCATAACTCTGTCTTAAAACATACGCTATGATTTAAAATTATCATAGCGTATGTTTTAAAAGAGAGTTATGATGGCCAAAGGCTAAAAATTAGGATTCTTAGTTTAATAAGGAAATATTTAATAACCAAAATTTTAGGTAATTTAAATACCCTAAATATTAGGAAAGTAACTTAAATTACAATTATGTCTAATATGAAATTTATTTTTAGAGGATAAAAAAGGCGAACGACATTTCGCTAAGGACATTCGTGCTTTTTATATATGAACCCATAGATCAATATCAGGATGTTGAAATATTTTATGTGAATAATAATCTTCACATAAATTTTTTTCCTATAATTCTACTTTTTATATAGTATATAGATACTTATATAAGTAAAGTTTGTTTAGCTTAAGCGATTTAGAGTACCGATGTTAAAAAATAAAGCAACATCTATTTACAAATTTAATTTTTCTAAGAAGTTAAAGTTATTTTAAGCATGTTGATCTCATAATTTCTAAATATCTTACAAAAATGACTCTCAATTTTAAGATTATCTCTCAATTAAAAAAGGCTATTATTTTCATTTTAAGCGATTTACAAAAAAAAAAAAACAATTATTTATAACACCAGATATTAGTAACCAAATAGTTAACATAAGAGTATAACAAAAGGTAAAAAGATAATTTATCAATAACAAAAATATGAATAGCATAAGAGTATAACAAAGGGTAAAATTAAGATACTTTATAATTTATAGTAGAGAAGTAAATTTCGGACAGAAGAACAGGTAAAACTGGACATTTCTGTTGTCTATTTGCAAATTAGGTATACATCATCTCAAACTAGTGTCCACCTTCTTTAACGCCTCCTAAGAAGAGTTAAATACTACACATTTGAATTATCTCCTAACATTCAAATTTATCTAATAACATTCAAATTCAAACCGAAAACCGATTTGAAATAAACAGAATCAAAATTAGAAAATCGAACAGAACCTTACTTATTTCAGTTCGGTTTCGATTATTACTTTTACAAAACCGAAAACTAAATAACCAAATCGAATTTCTTCAAACCGAACCGAACCGACCAAACGCCCACCCCTAAGCAAAAGAGATAAGATCGAAAAGGCCATATTGGAGCAAACGATGTAATTTATAACTATTCATTGAATTTATTTGGTATATGAAACACAAAACATATTCGAAAATACTAATTGTATAAGTATTTTTTACTTGTTTTTTCTCAAAGGATCGAGTGTGTCCTTTAAGATTTTTTTTACTATTAAAAGTAATTCGAGGAAAGTGTGAAAGTGTAATTTGTTTAACTGTGATTTCACTTCATTTAAGTTGAGTAGGATCAAGACAAAATACTTAGAGTGTAAGTTTAGTGGCGAGACTCAAGGAGGAGAAGGAGAGGTGAGGTTGGACTCGCAGGTCATCCCTAGGAGAGGGAGTTTTAAGTACCTCGAGTCTATTATTCAGGGGTGGGTGGAGAGATTGATGAAGATGTCACACATCGTATTGGGTCGGGATGAATGACATGGAGACTCGCTTCCGGTGTTTTGTATGACAAGAAGGTGCCACAAAAACTTAAGGGTAAGTTCTACAGAGTGGTAGTCAGATCAACGATGTTGTATGGGGCTGAGTGTTGGCCAGTCAAGATCGCTCATATCCAGAAGATGAGGGTAGCAGAGATAAGGATGTTGAGATGGATGTGCGGGCACACAAGATTAGATAGGATCAGAAATGAGGTTATTCGCGACAAAGTGGGTGTGGCCCCTATTGAGGACAAGGTGCGGGAAGCGCGACTTAGGTGATTTGGTCATGTGAGGAGGAGGAGCGCAGACGCCCCGGTGAGGAGATGTGAGAGGTTGACATTGGAGGGACTACGGAGAGGTAGAGGTAGGCTAAAGAAGAGGTGGGGAGAGGTGATTAGGCAAGACACCCTTGATAGGAAGGTATGAAAGTCGAAGATTAGGGTAGTAGAGTATGTGGTCTAGAGTATTCATAACAGTAGAATTGGCACGCAGTCTCGCTTTTTGTTGGTAGTAGGTTTTTATGACTAACCGTTATTTTTTTCATTGTTATCACCTTACTATCTGGTTGTTTTTATTCTGCTTTTATATGGCTTCTTGGTACTGTCACTTCTTGTCTAAATTTTTATTAATGTGATGCTTATACTTTCCTAAGCCGAGGGTCTATTTGAAATAACCTCTCTATCCTCTCAAGGTAGGGGTAAGGTCTACGTATACACTACCCTCCCCAAACCCCACGGTATGAAATATTACTGGGTATGTTATTGTTGTTGATTTCACTTCATTTGTCCCAAATTAAATGTGTTGCTTTCAGTGTAGTAAGAAAAAGAATTTCAAAAGTGTATTTCTTGGTTCTAGATAGTACTTTAAGACTTTTAAAAAAATCATTTTATAAATAAGTAAATTGATAATATACTTGGCTAGGTCACTTGTGTATTAACCCTCTGCTTTATATTATACAATTGAGAAGACAAAAGTGGAGTACATTCTTTTCAAAAGAATAAAGAAAAAGAAAGAAGTGAAAGATATGCCAAGATATTTTTGCCAAAATGGTACCAAATCAACTAATAATCTCTTACTCAATTGTTCTGCTAAGTTCCCTTGTTTTGATTAAAATCGAACCAATTCAACGAATTATAGCATATCATTGCTATCTAACGTAACCATGAAGCAACATCATTGAGGAATAAGAAGCTATCCTGTCCGAATTTACTACTTTAGCCCCCACATTTAAGATTTAACTAGAACCGACAATATGGGCTTGGCCCGTTGGGCCAATCCAGCCTAACCCGTGATAAATTAGTAGGGTTGGGCTAAAATTTTTGAAGCCCATTTAAAAACGAGGCATTTAAGCCCCGTCCGAGTAAGCCCGTGGCCAGTGAGGCTTGACTAAGGCTGGGCTGGACCGGCCCGTGGGCCTAATAAAAATATTTATTTAAAATATATAAAATATAAAAAGTATACGGCCTCTAGCGATGGAAAGTCAAAATTGGATGTTTACTTAGAGGAACCAAAGCTTGATCTTGAGAAGTTTCATGAGATGGATGTTGTCATGTATTGGAAGGACCATTCTAGAAAATATTCCGATCTTTTAATGATGGCGCGTGATGTACTTAGTATTCCCATTATCACTATAGCATCGGAATCAACATTTAGCATTGGTGGGCGTGTTTTGACAAAGTATATACAGAAGTTGCATCCATCATGAAAATGTGCAAACACTTGTTACTACTCGAAATTGGCTGCACGGCTTTTTCCAAACTCAAACTGGTAATATTTTTTATGTGAATTTGAATATTATTAGTTTTTAAAATTTTATTATTCTTAATATTTAACTAATTAATATTGCATATGAATTGTAGATGTAGATGTAATTGAATATGTTAAGACAACCTTGTCACAAGCAGATTCAAATGTATTTGATGAAGATGATGTGTTGGATATCCCATAAACGTCATGGACGTTCCCTAGAATAGTTTATTTTGAATTTTGACTTTTAGTGAATGAAATATAGTCTTGTCTTTTATTTCTTTAGTGTTTATTGTGATATATTTGAACAATATAAAAAGCTATTAAATTTTGCAAAAATTTTCCAATAAGATATTTTTTAACTTTTAAATATTTATCCTTTTCAGGTTAGAACTAAAAGAAAAAATATAAAATTATATTTTAAAAAATGATGGGTTGGACCGTGGAGGCCCGCGACCCTCATAGGGCTAGGGTGGACGGACCATTAAAAGGCTCATCAAAATGGCGAGCTAGCCCAGCCCAGCCCGTCAATTGCTAAAGCCCACGTGGGCTGGGTTAGGCTCACCGGCCCGGCCCGGTCCATATTGACAACTTTAGATTTATTATGATTAGTGTAATAAAATTTTGACCCTATCAACGGGGCAAATACAGAGTGTAACGTACAGGTTTGTCGAACCAAATAGTTTCGACTTAGATAATATAAATGTGTTAAATTCAGTAAATACGTATGTATAAAAAGAATAACCCGATGCACAAAGTATTCCGTATTCACATAAGGTCCGAGGAAGGGTCACACGCCCAACGAGTGTGATGTAGGCAACCTACCCTTATGCAAGCATCAATCACTGATTTTACTGCTCGAACCCGCGACCTATATATGTCACAGAAAAATAACTTTACCGTTACTCTAAGGCTCCAATTCTAAATATGTATATATGAGTATTAGATTTCAAATCCGATTACTAACACTTGAAATTCCTTTTTCTAGAATCCTTAGTCCTTGAAATTTAAATTCAAAATCTATCTCATAGTTTATTTTCAAAGTTATACTGAAGTTACTTACATGAATGATTTCTTGTGATTATATTTTAAATAATGAGACATTGTGAAAGAGTTTTATATTGTGTAGAGAAAGTTAAACTCCCAAATTCAATCCCCAATTGCTCAACGCACAATGATTATTACATATGAAAACGAGACCCGTTAAGTATGAAACAGATAACCCGAAAACCCGACAACAAAGAAGAAAACCCCAAGAACATAAACCCGGCGAATCCCAAGGCAACTGAGATATCTGATTGTACACAAAATGCATTATTAGCCGTACACGTGTCTCTTTCCCTTAACGTCCGAGCTAACGCCGTTCCCGCCGAATCCGCCGACAGCAGCATATATGCGAAAACCTATACAGAAAAAACAAGAACGAAAACGTCTATGTTTCACACACTATCTCCGACATTCCGTACTACAAAAATTGACACACACAACACCAGTTTCGAAGAGTTCAAACATTCATGTCGATACCCTCCGACGTAAAACTCGAAAGGCTGGCCAAGGTTGTGTCCTTAATTTTTAGAATTGAATTCTAGAAATTCAAAAAACGTGAAGTACCAATCTCTTTTAATCTAGCTAAGAAGGAGTATGAGACAATTTGCTAACGACCAGCGATATAATTAGACTCAATTTATAACCCGAAATTAAAATTGAACAACTTCGAGTGATAAAACGATAAATTTGAACCTTTAATTTTCCCTTGACGGTGAAATAAAAACAGTTGCTAATAAAACTTTTTTGAATTACGAAACTTATAGTTTAGTCCAATAAGATTATACCATTCACTGTTTCTCTTCTCTCTCTTTTTTTCCTTTTCCGATCTCCAATTTCCTTATGTAATAAACAATTTCTTAAAAAGAATCCACTAAAAGAAAAAAGAAAAATTGGAAATGGAAAGATAAGAACCTGATCGTGGCTAAAATCGAACCAGACTTGAACAACTTCGGGAAACACAGTGGCGCCTCTTGAAATTTCCCAAACTGAAGCTCCAATTTCAAACAGTGAATACAAAGCCACAATCGCAGCTGCAATTGCGACAAACCTATCCACAAAACAAAAAATTAGTTAATTATATTAAGAGAACCTAAATTGCTGCTATGGTAGTAGTACCTGAAAGCATCGAAGTTGTACCACTGAGGAGAACCGGAGCCACCACGAGAGTTTGTGAACATGAACATAGCAGAAGCAAGAGAGAAGCAGAAGGCAGCGAACCGGAAAACGAGAATCAAAATGTTGAACCGTCGGTTTTTTTGAACGGAAACTGTGGACTGGAACTGAGATTGGATTCTAGGCCGGGGAGACGGAGTCATTAAACCGCCGTTCCGGTTCGGTTCTTGACCTGACCTCATAATTTCTTCCACTGCAGATTCAAGAGGAGACAGAGAAATTCATATAACATTATAAATAACGAGAAGAAGGTGGAAAATAGAGTAACAAACTGATGGTAAAGTTCACGGGACACGGCATGATTCCCATGTAAAGAGAACATTATATCTGGAAACAACGACAGATTTTGCTTTTAGTAACAATTTTGTGGGCACTTTTTTGGAAATTATTTACCTGAATTCAGTGTATGCTAGTATTAAATTAAGTCGGTTTCACTATCAAATGATATACTGGCGGATATTGGTTGAGATACCTCCACTCTCAATCAAATGTCTAGTTTCGACCCCAGTAAATAGATAATTTTTTTGATAGAAAATGTTTTAGCTATATAATGTACTTTAGCGCGAATTCAAATTAATTGTGCTAGTAGATTCGAATACAAGATAATTAAATAAAAAAATATCTTTGTATAAATTAAAATAAATTTTGATTAGTTAATAAAAATTAATATATAAAAGATACATGCTAACATTAATTTGTCTAATGTAAATATTTAAAAAGGACAAATTTATTTGCACTACTTTCTTCAACTTAAATTAGTACTGTTATTTATATAAGTAGAACACCCTCACTTACTCTGACCTAAATTTTATGGACAAATGATTTTTCACATATATGAAATAAACACATTTAGTTAAAAAGGAAAAGGGGAATGCAAAGGGATTATGCATTCACTAATTTCAGTCCTATATTCATTCTTCGAGTGAAAATGAGAAGGTGAAGGTACTTTTAAAGGATCTAATGAGAGAGTTGAGATTCCTTATTATTTCATTCGTGGTTTTAAATTAAAATCCTTAGAGTTTACTAATAAGTAGTAATTTTTAAGGAGCTTTTTATCCTCTTAAAGATCTGTGCAGTTAAATTAGAGTTATTAGTCGAATTGGTAATTTAAAAGAAAAAAAGAGACAAATCAAGATTAGGTAGAAGCAGCAGCCAGACAACAAAGATGAAGAGAGAGTAGAGAGGTGGGGTTGTAGCGTTTACTTTACGTGCTTGCTTTCTTTTATCTTTTTTTCTTTTCTTTTAAAAAAGTATTTTAATATCTCACTCGATCCATTTTAGAGCCCCAACTAATTTATATTCTTGTCGCGTAAGGGTTAATATACAGAAAGCACTCCCTATTAAAAAAGAATTTATTCTTATGCCTTTAACTCGAGACTTATGATTAAGAATAAAATATTTACACGCTCTTTGCACGAGGTTTTTGGATTTCCATCATAGCAGCTGAGCTTGATATATAATTGCGTTATCCTTTTCCTTTTTCTAGTTATAGAACATTTTTCCTTTCAATTATTATATTTTATGTTACTAGTTCCGGTTTTCCTCTTTCTTCTTTTTCTTTTAAAAGTAACTTAATCCATTAAATTTTTAAAAATACTACATCTAATAACTCGACTCACAGAAAACTGAAAAACATTAGCTAGCTAAGTGGATGCGCTTTCAACAAAAATGGCCATGAGTCAACTCCGGTCTTCGTATTTATATACTATTGACCTGCTGTCTACAAACAGAGGCGTACCGGTCTTTGGGTAGGGGGTCACCGGTCCGGTAACTTTGGCAAAAATGCATGTATATGTGTATATATTTGATTCGCACCCTAAGATTTAAATCTCAGGCAGCTATATTGGTCGATTTAGGGGATATAACCTGACTTTTAAGGGCTCGTTTGATAATAAGGTATAATTAATCTCGGGATTAAATTTAAGATGAATTTATCCCACTTTTGATTGTAATAATGTATAACTAATCTCGGAATTAGTTATCCCGGAATAGTAGTGTTATTTTTATCCTTATAGGAGAGTGAAATAACAATCCCGGAATAATTAATCTCGGGATAATTAATTATGTGATAACTTTTTTTCTAACCAAACAACCTCTTAGTGCGCTGCCTGAGTTCGATTCTAAGTCCAATATTTCCTCATAATTTTATTCGACAATGGTGTCCCGTCACTTTCAAATCCTGGTTCCTCCTTTTGACAAACAACAATATTGCTTGTTTTCTTTACCCCCAATAAATTAGTCTCTATTTACTTAAATCCCAATTAGAAGTTCAAGTTTAACCACTCCCGCGTGCAATAAGAACCTTTACCATTTGCTAATCTGTTTTGGTTTTCCTACACACTTCTCCATGATCTGTGTATTCAAAGTCAAGACAGCATTTGGGAAAAGTAATACGTAATTAGCAAAAGAAGCAATTCATGCATGTGTCACGTCTCGTCAATATTTACTTCATCCCTCCTAAAATGATGACAGAATTCGGGTATGAAAATTAAATTATATAATTGTCGGTCTTAATTTAGATACTACTTTCATATACTGAAAACAAAATAGATATAATTTCAAACCACAATATTGGGAGTAATAAATATAAACTATTCAGGAACATTTGAAAGAATCGTATTAAAGGAAATACTTCGACTGCCTAAATATAACAATGTTATATAAACTAGAGCAAGAGTGTTTATAACAAAGCGGGTTTTTTGTGTTCAAAATAAAATTAAATTTATATTTTCTGGAAATAAGCTATCGTTTATACATAAATTTGGTTAAAATTTTTAAATTTTTTTTTTTTAAAGAGGAGATAAACAATAGTTTTTGAAAGTTGAAATTGTGTTTTAGCCATGCATTATACTTGAAAATAATTTGAAGTTTTGTGAGTAAAAAACTTCAAAAACTACTCCAGAGCTGTTTTTGAGATTGGAAAATTTTGTTTTTCAAGATCTGCCAAAAGATAGTTAAATTCTATTAACAAACAGATATTTGAAAACAAAAACTCACAGATTTTATAGCCAAACGGGAACCAAATGTTTTGTTTTACACAAAATTTTCAAGAAAATAAAAATAATCAGTTATCTCATTACAATCTGGAAAAATGATCTCCAAATTCCAAATTCGAAAATTCAAAAAACAAAAAATAAAACACTCAAATATGAGTTACTATTGATTTGACTAAAAAGGTAGCAAAACGACATTTCCTAAGACATGAAACGACATTTCCTCGACAAAGAAGGAGGGAAAGCAAAACAAACCTAACGAGAAAGTAATGGAGAATGCAAAAATTACTAGCTCATATCCAAGATGTACATTATGCAGTTTTTCATCTATTAGGCTACAAAGCAAATACAGAGAGGCCAGAGATCATAACGTCCAGCAGTCTGACATTTTTAGTAAAATCAAATGAATCTTACTTAATGGTAAGAACCTCAAAAGTAAGTTTAACAAAAATGTAAATAATGACTGAACTCGCAAAACAAAAGGCATAATACAAAAGGTATGACAGACCTTGACAGCAATTCTACATTTGTATGTATCAAACAACTGATGAAAGAAGTCCGTTTTTTAGCATTCACATCTTTATGTCATTTCTTGAGACCGTCTTACACAACGACTGACCTTTTTCTTGAATTCATCTCTATTATCTCTCCATTCCTTCTGCAATCGGCCAGAAAAGAAATTATACAAGACATAAGAAGGTGCTAACCGCAAAATACTTGTATCAATGTGAACACTCGATCATGATTTGGGCTAGGCAAATGATGGAGCGAATACGAGGCACAACTTCTATTCATCCTATGGAGTTGAAAAGGGAAAATATTTTAAAGTTTGCCTCTGGACAAAACTTGAGTTGAAGTCCAAAGAAAAAATTATTTAGGTTGAATCAGAGAAAAGAGCCGAGGGTCTACAAGAAACAACCTCTCTACCTTCTCAAGGTAGGGATAAGGTCTGAGTACACACTGCCCTCCCCAGACCCCACTTGTAGCTTGTAATCGGGGAGTTGAACTTGGAAAAAAGGCTCTGGAAATTGAAGTTATGTATGCACAGTTGTAGTTTGTTGGAACGAAGTTTGTGAAAGTTGAGAATTTATGATGGAAGTGGGGATTATTTCAAGTTGAAATACACCTGCAAACCCGCCACTTCAACTTCAAATAACCAAATTCTTCCTCAAAACATGTGAAACAAAATTCAACTTGCCCAAAAAAACGATTATATTCAGAAGAAGAGCATATATAATCTTCTTCACTGTACTTCAAATTCAAGGCTTAGACAATCCTAAAGAAACTATAAAATTTCAAATGAACTTCATTTTGGAACGGCTTTATAGCCAACACCGAACCAAATATCAAGGACACTTTAGTTCGTGTAGAGTGTTTCCAAGGGATATTGCTAAGCAAGAAGTTCAGAAACCCTAAGGAATGTAAAAGTAAATGAGAGCTAAGGTTCCCGTCCCACCTCCATTATCAGGAGGAGGTGAGCGAGTACACTTACTGGGGATAACAAAAAAAAGAATCCATAAATCAGATTACTTACAGCGGCTTCCACATTAGCAGGAGACTCGTCATTAGGACTTGAAAGCATTGATATGATGCTCAATATTATGCTCTCAACCTGTATATTACAGCCGTCAATTTTGATTATACAGAAAATTTGAGTGTTTAAGCAAAAATAGCATACAAAGAATTGCTGTTCATCCAAACAATTAGAAACAACAAGTACAAAAGAAAGCCCGGGCAGGAACGTTGGCATTATAGGAATGAGAAGCAAACAAGGTAAGATTGCAAAATCTCATAGAATTTGACACATGACAACACAATCATTTAACAAAAAGTGGGATTAATGCCTGCCTACATATATATATACACTTTATTTCACCTACAGCTTCATAACATCCTATATCATTATAACAATAAAGCATATCTAGACAATTAATAATCTTCCTTGAGCCGAGGGCCTATTGGAAACGGCCTCTCTACCTTTATAAGGTAGGGGTAAGGTCTGCGTACACACTAGCCTCCCCAAACCCCACTTATGGGATTACACTGGGATGTTTTTTGTTGTTGTTGTTGTAGATGATTAATAACCTAGTGCAAAGAATTAGTCATTATATTAACAATAACACAACAGCTCAGAGGCAGTAAATTAAGAATCCATGAAGCAGAAGGAAAACAACTAGAGCAACAGAAAAGCAGCATAGAAGATCAAATAAAGGCAACTGAAGCACCCGAAATAATGCCAATTGATCCCTCATATTTCACATACATGTCTATTTGGTGAATATGAACGTCAAAATCATACACTAACTAGAAACTGCACAGATTCAGTTCTAATGTATACATGCAATACAATCATAGACAAACTAGAACCTGTACAACAAATGCAATACTAATGTATACATGCATCAAACAATTATATCCAAGTTCTCTAACCAAAATAAAAACTGACGTTGGAGAATAAGAAATAACTCAGAGATATGCTAGTTGAATCAAATCAAACAGCATGATTCATGAACTGTTCGGATATGTCACCTACATCAAAACCCGATGAAAACATCTCTGGCGGAATCACTAATACTTTTACCACAAGTCAGTCAGAAAAAAAAATGAAAGAGAAAACCAGGCTAGTATGGCTGTGGTCCTCCACTTACAGATTGTTGTACACGTACGTAAATTAAAGGCATCATTACTACATTGTATCTAGTGATGAACAGAGGTTTCGTTAATGAAAGTCAAGGGTAAGACATTATTCTCATGGATTCCGAATTTAAGTATGGAGGTGAGAGTTCAGAATTGATTCCAGATTTAGGCATTGACGGTGAGATATCAGTTCCATTGTTGACTTGTACAAGAGTTGTGTGTGGCTGTATTTGAGCAAGTTTTGCAAATTGACATGGTTAGACTCTAGCTCCAAAAAAGATGTTATGTGAGGCAAATGTAAAATCAGTTGTCCATCTTAAGATCATGATTCATGGTTTAGTGTCTATGATAGTTGACCGCTCTAGGAAGAGCAATTTGCACCTGCAATACCTTGCTCTTGCCACTGATTATAGCTATAATGGATGTACATTGCCAAACATCATTTCTAGCTTTCAAAAAATACTTTTTGAAAATCTCATGATCTAAATAAAATCGACTAAACGAGTTTTAAAGACTGGCATCTGAACACGGTCACAACTAGAAAGCTTCACAGATAAATTTATTAAACCTACAATTACATTTTGACAACTTGAATAATCTCTGATACAGTTAGAAATTAAGCCATACCAATTTTTTGTGGATTACAACAACAACAACAACAACCCAGTATAATCCCACTAGTGGGGTCTGGGGAGGGTAGTGTGTACGCAGACCTTACCCCTACCTTGGGGTAGAGAGACTGCTTCCGATAGACCCCGGCTCCCTCCCTCCAAGAACTCCCCACCTTGCTCTTGGGGTGACTCGAACTCCCCACCTTCCGAAAATAAATTTTTTTCCAGTTTTTACAAAAAAACTGCTTTAAAAAAAACTGAAAAATATTTTCTAAAGCGATGTTTTTGTAAAAACTGAAAACAAAAAACTGAAAATTCGCCTAGCCCTGTACTAGAAATTGGAAGTTTCTCCTTTATCTTAGTAATAGGATACAAGTACTAGTTTGGAATTGTCAGAGTAATTCTGCACTTATGTTACTGTATACCTTCTTCATTTGGATAAAAATTGAACTATGAGATAAGCTGATGAGAATTATAATTCAAATTTCCAAAACTCAGCCCGAAAATGAGCTAAATTTATCCATATTCAAGAGAATAAGATTAGATCATCTAAACAGACTCACATTTATCAACCAACACTCATTCATACGGTTACGTATTCCATTACATTAACATTTGACTAAGAACCCTGAAATAATAACAGATATTCATACCGTATGGACAGGAGACCAACGCTCACTAGCAAGCTCATATCCATTTGGATCATCACCAGGTGGGTGAAGAATTGAGATGCAAACCTTTCCATCAGAGTAAACTGTATTTCAAGAAAATAACCAAAATCAATGAGATGATGATCAACCGCGTTTACCAACTCTACGAAATAGATATGTAGCTTACACACCATTAGGATGCCACACCTCCGAGGTAAACCGAATAGTTGGAGGACTGTTGGGATAATTTTGAGGAAAGCTCATGATAGCATTAAAGAAACCCCCTTCACTGCACTTGCAACAATTAATACATGATTAGGAATTTCTTTCGGTCTTTCCACCCCAACCTACAGTACAAGTAAACGTTGAGAAACGACGGAATCTCTTCTCTTAACTAAATTCATAAACTTAAACAGCTAAAACTACCTTAAAGGAAATATACATAGGGATTACTAAGCTGCTAAGTCGATCAAGAACGAGCACTGAGTTTCAGTTTGGCATTCTAAGGAAAGGATAATAATAAATCACGTCGAATCATAAGACCTACATCAAGCACATATCAAAGAGTAAATAAAGGTGATTGGAAAATTCTGGACGAGGAAAAAAGTGATGAATATACTTAAAAACCAGGAGTATGGCAAAATTAATGGTATCCACTATCCAGTCCTATAAGGAACTTCAGGGACTTTTATGCCATCAATAGAGCGCAATGGATATAGAAATAGAGCCAACTCCAACTAGTTTGCGACCAAGGCATATGTAGACTGATCGATTCTTACTTCACAATTCACACAGAACTTCCATGAAAAGAGAAACACAATAACGCCTCAATCCCAAGCAAGTTTGTGTCAGCTATATGAATCCTCACTTTTCATGTCGCTCCATTTAGCTCATCTCGGACCAATATTATACAAAATAAGAAACTAATATATAATGTACTAGAAGTTTTCTACTAAGGTTCTAAATATTACTAGGTAAAAAAATATATCTAATCCGCAGCTCTATAGTAATTGAAAACCCATAAGCCAGAACATAAAAATGCTATAGCCTACAGTACAAATTGCAGGATCAAAATTACAACTTTTTCCAGTAATTGTCAGACCTTAAACAAGGGTATGTCATCGGACTTACAGCATCCACACAATCTGAAAACGATTCAAGAAAATCTTCTTTAAGCTATAAGCTGACTCAACTTATTCAATCGATCATATATCCAATCAAAGACAGAAAACCCATTAACAACCAAACAAAATTCAGAAAGAAAGAACTTTAAGATCATATCAAAACAATAAAATTTCAATCTTTAAACTACTACTACTACGAGTAAAAGACTCACTATAAAGTATCCGGGGGTCCAATAATGGTGACACTCCATTCGAATAAGTTGCTTTCATCAACCAAACCAGCTGAAAATCCATCAACTGGTCTTTTACAGAGATCTGAAAGTAAAAAAAGCAAGGATCTTTACATTCAAATTATAGGAAATAATGAAATTAAGAAAACCCAATTAAGCAAACAGTCCAAGAATGAATAATGGTACAAAAAAGCAAGGATCTTTACATTCAAATTATAGGAAATAATGAAATTAAGAAAACCCAATTAAGCAAACAGTCCAAGAATGAATAATGGTACAAAAAAGCAAGGATCTTTACATTCAAATTAAATGAAATAATAAAAATTAAGAACACCCAATTAAGCAAACAGTCCAAGAATGAATAATGATACAAAAAAGCAAGGATCTTTACCTTCCAATTTGGGGATTTTAATAGTTATTAACACCCAATTAAGCAAACAGTCAATGAATACAGGTATATAAAAAAAAAAAAAGCAAGGATCTTTGAGGTGAAGCGGGAGCGAACACCAAAAAAGCAAAGATCTTTACATTCAAATTTGAGAAACTAATAAAAATTAATGACACCCAATTAAGCTAACAGTCAAAGAATGAGTTGGGTACAAAAAAGATTGTACCTTTGAGTTGTTTCTGAAGGAGGAGACTAGCTTGAGAAGCTGAAGCCATAGACTTCAGTTGATGGGGTTTGGGGGGGGGGGGGGGGGGAGATTATTGACAGAGATGAGAGAACTCAAAAACAGAATTATAAGATTTATAGGATGTTATATATACAGAATAATTTGTTGCAAGTAGGATAAGTAATAATGATAATTATTAATTCAAAATATTTTAAAAGTCTTGATCAAAGAAAAATCTATTTAAAATTTAAACAGTAGTAACAAATTTTTTTGTTACACATCCGGTCCTTAATGGATTTGGGAAAGACCCGCTTGGATTTTTTTTTTAAAAATAGCCTAATTTATAATTGCTAATAAAAAATTAGTCACAATTCTATAAGCAATAGAAATATAGTTACTTTTGCATGTAAAAATAAAATATGAACAAAAATATCTTAAAAATCTGCAAAAATTTACTAGAATTTTATACGCAAGAGCTACATAATACAACATATTATGCTATAACTTTCCGTATTTTAGTTAGAATATTTTTGTCAAGATTTTATCTTTGCATAAAATAATAGCTATTTTTAGTGACTTTGCAAATATTGACTATTTTTTAATTAACAATTCGAAAATTGGTTAGCCCATATTATTTTGACGTCTTACTCGGAGTAAAGACACTTCAAGTCAAGAGTAGAACTCAGATTTTTTAATTAAGGATTAAAAAGTATTTAGGACTCCAATATAATTTTTAGCGATATGTAGTAACATAAAATTTATAAAAACGGTTCGGTGCCCTAGGGAGGTTTCTATTTGAAAGTCAAATAGTCTTTTTTAGACGACTGTTATATGTAAAGTACAGTAATATGTGACCAAGTTGAGGGAAGACTGAAGATTGAGACTTGATAGCAGTACAAAGGCAGATTTTGTGGATGAGATTGTATTTTTAGGAGTTTTGATATTTTTTGGTAGTAAATTAACGGTTGAAAATGATAATCTGCATTATAAGTGGTCCTGCGTATATTTCTTTTAAGGATTCTCTAATAGATATAATATTCCCGTCCTCTAATTTATATGATATTGTTTGATTAGACATTAAATTTAAAAAAGAAAAAACTGAAATTTATAATTTAAAATAAGCCTTACACATATGTAAATATAAATTATCTTATTAAAAATAAAATAAATATTTTAAAATAAAATTATTTTTAAAATCACATACTAAAAAATATCTATCACATAAATTGGAATGAGGCTTTTTATGATGTTACTAGTTAATTTACCCGCGTTTCGCGCGGTCGTTAAAGGAAAATTAAAATATGAATAAATAATAATTGTTAGAATTTTTATTATAAAAATTAATCTTTACTAATCAACGAAGCAACAGTAATTGTTAATTTCAAAGTCATCCTTAATATTTATTAAAATATAATTCTTATTGTTGTGCTTTTTTTTTTTTTTACCAAAAAAAATAAATTTATGAAATAACAAAGTAAGTATCATGTTTAAAGAAAAAAAGTAAGTCTCATCAAGTCTATTTTATATCTCAACATCATTCAATGAATGATTAGGGAAGTAGTAAGATCAGCTTTATCTTTAATTTGCCTATTCTCCAATATAACAATATCAATTGTTCCTTCTTCCTTTTTTATCATTTTATATCCAAAGCCACTTAGCTAATAATTAATTAGGCTTTGTGTTAGGTGTGTGTATAAATAGGGGTATTATTACTTTTAATCCGCGCCAGAAACTATTTATATTTGTTAACCGGAAAAAATATATAAAATTTGTATAATTTTGTATATAACATATAGAATATATATATATATATATATATATATATATATATAT